CCAGTTTAGTGGCAAGCTCTTTAGCCTTTGCCTTTTCCATCTTGGTGATGTGAACCACGGATTTGGGACCCAGGACGTTGCCTCCCCAGTGATGGTGGATCTCGTCCTATCTGTCATTGTAGTTGGTCCTGATCGCCTCCACCAGCTTAGCCAGTGCTCCCTTGTCCTCAGAGTTGACTTGTGTGAAGATGACAGTGGTGCAGGTTTTCCTGTGGACCAGGCGCCCCAGCCTGGCCTTCCCCTTGATGATGCAGTAAGGAACCCCCATCTTGCGATGCAGGGCAGGCAGGAACACAAACAGCTCAATGGGTCTACGTCATGTGCGATCACCACTAGCTGAGCCTTCTTGTTCTCCACCAGAGTGGTGATAGTGTTAGCACCTGCTGAGGTTGGGGGTGGGGGGGGAGTGGTATGTCTTAGTGGGTACGTCCCCCTTGCCAGCAGCCTTCTTCTCAGACTGGGCCTCTGCTTCTTTTCTTGTCTCTGGTCTATACTTGTCGGCTTAAGCAGCTGGGTAGCTGTTTGGCGGTCCAAGGCCTGGGTGAACTGGTTGATCGTAAGGGGCACCTTCAGCCACTTATACAGGATTGCCCTCTGTTGCTGCAGTTGGATGTAGCGGGGCCATTTGAAGAAGTGGGTGAGATCTCTCTTGGGCTGGATGTCCTGTCCAATGCCGATGCTGAAGTTCTTGGGCCTCTTCTCAAAGAGTGGATTTACCATCTTCTTGGCCTCCTGCTTCTTCATGACAGCAGGGGCCAGGGCCATCTTCTTCCCCTTTGGCATCTTGGGCAGCTGACAAGGCTATTAATTTTTGAGTGTTGACTTTGTATTCAGCTAATGATACTGAATTTGCTTATTAAATCTAGTAGTCTTTTGGTGGAGTTTTTGGGGTCTTCTATGTAACACATCATGTCATCTGCAAATATTTTAACTTCTTCCTTTCCTATTTTATTCCTTTTCTTTCTTTCTCTTATCTAATTTCTCCAGCTAAAGTTTCTAGCACTATCTTAAAACTTCACTCACACTGCTCTTAGAAGTCAGCTCACTTCCTTTTGGTTGGAGACCTCAGAATCTTGCCATGTGGGCCTCCCTATAGCTCACAATTTGTCAGCTAGCTTTCCTCTAAGCAAATGGGCATCCAACACAGGAGCCAGTCTTTTTGGTGCCCTAATCTTTGAATTGAAATCCATAATTACCACCCCCCAACTTTTATTTTATTTTTTTCTTTTAGACAGGGTCTCACTATGTATCCCAGGCTGGCCTAGAATTCACAGAATTCTTGCCTCAGCCTCATGAGTGCTGGAACTACAAGCCTGTGCCACCACATGTCATATCCACTGACTTTTAGTGAGAAAAATTACAAGGCACAGCTCATACTCAAGAGCAGAGGATTCCACAGGTGTTATGGTTGATTCATTGTGTCAATTCGAGTTTAGAAGTTTAACTGAGAGAGGCTGGGGATTTAGCTCAGCGGCATAAGCACCTGCCTTGTGAGCAGGCAGTCATGAGTTCAATCCCTGGTTAAAAAAAAAAAAAGGAAGTTTAACTAAGAGATTTAGCAGGGGCCAGCCAGGGTCCTCACTTTGTAAACATCTGCATACAGTGCAAAAGGAATGCAGGGAAATGGTGTGAGTGCTACAGGGACTGGCGGGATGGGTACCTGCTTACAATATAAGAGAAGAAAAGACCTTTACTGTTCCCTCTTTTGCTCTTGCTGCTTTTGCTGCCTTGAACTGTTACTCTTCTGCCTCGTTACCCTGCCTTGCAGCCAGCCGATTATTTTGAACGAAATAAACTTTCCCTTCCTCAATTTTGGGTCTCAGGTATTTGTCTCAGCGACTTGTATCTCCCTGTTGTCTTCCATTGTTGCCCTTTTCCCCTTTCCTTCGTGCATTGGGGATTGAGCCTAGCCCAGGGCTACTTTAGCCTGTGCTCCACCACTGAGCTACATCCCCCGACTTTCTGGTATAATGTAATGCCCTCTGGTGTTAAAGTGCCAGTTAACCACATTTTCAGAAGTCTGGAATTTGGGTGAAGGACTTTTAAAAAAAGGGATTTCTTGGTTTAGGCTAGTGATCCTCTCTCTGGAAAGAAAAGAGGGAAGGGTAAAATATAAAGTTAATAGAAGTTCTCTTAATTTCCATTTTAATGAAAAACACGTATCAAATTTTGTGATAAATACTTATATATACCAGCCAGGTGTGGCAGTGCACTCCTACAATGCCAGTACTCAGGAGGCTGAGGGAGGAGGATCACAGAGTGCAAGTCCAGCTGCACTACAAAGCAAGACCCTGTCTCAAAAAAAAAAAAAAAAAAAAAGAGTTTGATGGTAGTAGGAAGCTTAAAATAACACTAAGGCTAGGGATTTAGCTCAGCAGCATAAGTGCCTGGCTGGCAAGTACGAGGTCATGAGTTTGACCCTTGGTACCAAAAAATCAGTAAAATAACACCAAGCATGATAGCATAAGCCTGTAACCCAATCCTTTTGGGAGGCTGTGGCAGGAGGATTACAAGTTCAAATTCAACCTTTGCAGTGTAAGGAAATGTTGCTCAAAACAAAAAATAAAAAGAACTGGCAGTGTTGTTCAGTTCACAGGTCCTGGGCTCAATCCCCAGTACACATACAAAAAAATTAAGATTACCATCCAGTAATTCCATTGTAGGAACATACCCAAGAGATATGAATGTATATATCCCCATGTAGACTGTGTTTATAAATGTTCACAGCAGCATTATTCATACTGGCCCAAAACTGGAAACCTTCAAAATATCCACCAACTGGCAAAAAGAGACACAAAAGGAACATGTCCATACAATGAGAACAATGGGATATGATTCAGCACTGATAAAGAATTAAACACTTACATGTGGTGTCCCCTGGATAAACCTCAGAAACATTCTGTTAAACTGAGTGTAAGTACATGCTTGTAATCCCAGCAATTTGGCAGGCTGAGGCAGGATCATTGCAAATTTCAAGTCGGCCTGAACAACTGCCAAAAAGGGGGAGGGCACACATGTAGTTTAGTAGCAGAAAACAAAAACAGAACATATTTTACTCAGTAAAAAAAGTAAGATAGATTCCACTGTCTTCATGGAAGACAAATCTACATATGTAAGGTAGATTAGTGGCTGCCTTGGGCTGAAGATGGGAAACAGGAGTAGCCGCAAATAGCAAGTAGGTATAAAGGACCTCTTGAGAGTGCTAGAAATGTTTTAAAGTCGGTGGCACCAGTTGTCACTAAATTCACTAAGACTCATGGAACTGTACATAAATTGAGTGAAATTCATAGTATGTAAATTATGCTTCACTAAAACAATTTTTTTCTTCAGTAATCGTGGATTACAACTTGCGTTTTGTCAGTTTCTAGACTTCTTATTCAACGTCTCTTTTTTTTCCATCTGCCTGGACTTTGGTCCTACAACTGAATTCTGGGAGTCTGTCTCCAGATGTGGCTGTGATATCATTAAATCAGAACAATGTGATTGTATTTTTATTTGGCTCTTCCCATCTTGATTTGTACTTAGTTGGAAAGTAAAGCTGGGGGCTGGGGATTTAGCTCAGTGGCTTAATTGCCTGCCTGGCAAGCAAGAGGTTATGAGTTCCATCCCTGGCACACACACACACACACACACACACACACACACACACACACACAAGTAAAGGTGATGTTTGATTTCTTAGCTTGCAAGCATTTGTACCAGGACCATTTTTGCTTCACCTAGGTTAATTAATTTTGATTGGGCTACTGGAGAGCCCTGGCTTCATCATTTTCCGAGGTTTTATTTTTCATGTTCACCTTTATCTGGACCCTTCCAGCAGATTGAGGGGGCTCCTGGTGTCTTTTCCTTTTATTCCTAAAACAGGTTCGGTTTTTAAAATTTATATTCAGCCTAAAAAGTTACCTACATGCTTCCAGTTTAATTGCAACACACTTAAAAAACGAACTACTGTGCCGGCTGGCTCCCTAAGTTAAACTAAAACTTCCAAAGGGGTCAAGGTCTAAAGTTCACATTCTTGTGAGACCGGTTCAGTCTTCACGGAGGGAGACCCCATTATCCACAGCAAGCCCCCATTATCCGTAGCTCTACCAATCACGTACATTTCCTTTTGAATCCTATGAATGAGGGAAAAGAAGTTCAAGTGAGGGAAACTGGGTTCAAATGAAGGTCAGATACCCAAGAGTTTTCTGGTTATTGTGCGGCTCGGGTTGACAAAAGTCAGGGAAAAGTTAACCACGTGGTCGTGGCTCTCAACAGTCTGGTTCAGGGAGTCCCGGGGACACTTTAAGGCCCACTGCGCTCCAGGCCCTGGAACACAAAGAAAACCACGGATGCTCCGTTGCTCAGGTCTCGCAGTGTTCTAGACGATTTACACGTCGCAAGACACACTCCCCGCCCCGAAGACACTCGCATGAAGAGAGGGCAAACAAGGTCCTCCCGCGAGCCCGAGGACCGCGCTGAAGAAACACCCTGGGGTAAGAAGCGCTCCTCCTGTGTCCTCTGCGCTGGCCAGGACCGGAAAGCCAGGACCGACACGCCCTCTCCGAAGGGCAGACCCGCCTCAAGGAGGGCGGATGCCCGCTGGGCCGGCCGCCGGGCCCTCACCCGACCCCGCGAACGCGGCCCAGCGCGGCACCCGCTCCTCACGTGTCCCTCTCCGGTCGCCTCACGTTCTGCTTCCGCTCGACCCTTCCGACTTCCGGTAAAGAGTCCCCCCCTTCCGCACTTCTGCGCCCACCTGGCGCCGCCACCCGGCGCTTCGGCGAGCCCGGGCCTCGATGCGCTCGGCGGCCGCTGCTCAGCGGAACCCCGCCACGGCTCTAGAGCCTCGCCGCCGCACCTCGGCCAGGTGGCCCGGGCGGCGCTCGCTCTGGCGGACGGCGCGGCGCAGCGGGCGGGGCGGTGGCGTGGGGCCGGGCGCATATCCCTCCGCCGCCCCTCCCCCGCCCGGCCCCGGCCCCCCGCCCTCCGCGCAGTGCTCGCCTCCTTCTGCCTCAAACTGTTTTGGTAGCAACGGCAACAGCGGCGGCGAGTCCCGGCCCGGCTCCCGGCAGCTCCTCGCTCTTGGCGGGCCTCCCCGCCCCTTCGTCGTCGTCCTTATACCCCTCGCCAGCTCGGCCGCCCCCCCAGCCGCACTGTTGCGCGCCTCTCCGCTCGGCTCCCGTGCGTCCCTGCCGCGCTCCGGTGTCTCCTCCGCGCGCTCGGCTCTCGGTTGTCCCCGCCCGGCGTGCGAGCCGGTGTATGGGCCCCTCACCATGTCACTGAAGCCCCAGCAGCAGCAACAGCAGCCGCCCGCGGGTGCCACTGTCCGCAAGCCCAGCGGCGGCCTTCTCACATCGCCTATCACCGCGCCGTCACCGTCCTCAGTCTCGTCATCCTCGGTCACGGCTTCCTCCTCCTCCTCCTCTTCGTCCTCCTCCTCTTCTTCCTCGGCGGCTGCAGGCAGCGGGCGGCCTGGCTTGGGCAGGTGGGTGTCGGTCCCCCAGCCCCCTCCCTGCGGGCCTGGACGAGCCGGGGCCTCGCGTCCCCTCCCCCGCGGCCCACGCTACTGTCCCCGCCCCGTGACCGGTCGGCGGAGGGGGGTGGGCCGGGGTCCCTGCTCGGGTCCGGAGCTGGGGGTGGGCTACTCTCGGGGTGCTACGGGATTTCCCGGGGATTGTCAGGCCGTGTCCAGCCCCCTGCATGCAACGTCCCCTCCCCCTTCCTCAAACGGTCAAGATGGAGGGACCGGTCAGCCCCCCCCTCGATGTCAGCGTGTGCCAGGGTTCACGGGTTTCAGTGATTGTCAGCCTGGGCTCCACCTTCAGGCTTCCCGCATCCCATGGAGGGGGTGCTGATCCCCATCGCCAGCTTTACATCTAAATGTCGGAGGGGTCTTTTAAGATTTTGGCTTGGTTTGCTGAAACGTGCTGGTTTCCGGTTTGGGAAATGTGGAGAGACGGGGGATAGAGTTAAGACAGCGCGTCCCTGTGCTCCGGGTGGAGGGCTCAGCTGGAATCGTTAGCGTGCATTGCGCGTCCGCTGCCACCCCTCACTCTCTGCCCTGGAGAAGATAAAGGACCGAGTGAGGTCAGTGGGCAGCAGCCTCCGGTATTCCTTCTGCTTTAACCCTAAGGCGGCGGCGGTGGCGGCTGCGGCGAGGGCTCCGGAACTCGCGTGGAACCCCGGGCCCGGTGCAGTCTCCTGCGGCGTTCCGCCCTCCCCCACCTGGGCCCGGAGTGGGGAGTGCCCGACTCCCTCTCTGCCTCCTTCCTTGCTCGCCAGGTCTCCGCCGCTCGGATGGCGGCTGAGCCGCATTGCTGTTCGGAGGCCGCGGAGGAAAAGGCGCCTTTGGGTAGCGGCTGGCGTTGGCCTGGCTTGGGAGATGGGGGCGGCAGCGGCTGGGAGCGGGCACGCTCGCCGAGCATTTTTCCCTAACCCCCGCCCCAGTTTCTGAAATTCTTAGGGGCTGGGATTCGCCACAAAGACACGGTGGGGTTCCCGAAGGCAGAAATGCGGGTGTTTACTTGAGTCTTTGCTCCTTCCCCCCTTCTCATAACCCTGGTTGTGGAGAAGCTAGAGGCTCGGTGTAGTCCCAGCTAAATGGGTCTGACTCCGGAGGGTGTGTTTGTGCAGGAAGGCCGGTGGGGGTGGGGTGGGGTGGCTGTCAGTTCTTATTTCACGAACTAAGAAAATGCCAGTAGACTCATTCCATTGTGGCCGGTGTCCTTAACTTGGGGAGTGTCACTAGAGCTTACCAAGGACATGCAAGTCCATTTCCCCTGTGCCCCCGTCCATCCATGTTTCAGGCAGTATACTGTGCCTCTCTCAGGGCGAGGCCTGGTTGGCAGGGCCAGTGACCAGTGTCCTCCTTAAATAGACCTCTAGGGCTTTCCATGGTGGGATAAGGGGATTTTTTTCATGTACTGAGTTTTCTTTTTGGAAACACATTTTCACAGTCCATTTGCAAAGAATTTTTATGTACAGCAGAAGTACCTACCAATAATGAGTCAGAGCTGGATTTTGAGGAATTGTGCTGCTTGTAACACCCTGGCTTTGACTTGGGCCTCCCCCCCGCCCCCCCCCACCTTGCCTGAGGTACTCCAAATACTACTTAGCCCAGCAAATTCTGAAGAAATGATCATTTTCCCTGCTCAGTCCATTAACATCCAAGTTATATCATTCTGTAACCTCAGTTTCCCTTTTTTGGTGACATTTACTGAAAAGCAAAAAAAAAAAAAAAAACAAAAAAAAAAAACCTAAAAATAATTTTGATGGAAAAGGGTACGTTTGGTGTTTTTCTTTTAGGTATGGGGGAAAAATCTGGCAAATGTTTTCAACTTGTTCAAATAATTGAAAAACCTAAGGCTCCTTAGTGTCATCAACTCTTTTTAAACCTAAACAATAAATCATAACAAAGAATTTGTTCCAGAATAGGCTGAGTGGTCAAAGATGTTTGGGATGTTTTAGTGCTAAAAGTTTGATACTTGATGCTTCACAAATACTACACTTTAATTAATTTAGATTCTTCCTTGATTTAAATTCTTTTACTTGAATGTAAAGTGGAGCTTTTTGTTTTTTGTAATTTTGAAATTTTATTGATATACTTTAGATGTAATACTCTTTTTAAGCTTTGTTTAGTGATTCATGGGATGTAAAGTTTTAGTCTGTACAGCTCTAGTTATAGGATTGCTTCAGGTTTTTTGTTTGTTTGTTTGTTTGTTTGCTTGTTTTTTTGAGACAGGGTCTCACTATGATCCATGTGCCTCAGCCTCCTGAGTGTTGGAATTATAGACACCTATGCCACCCATTTTTAATAACTTTACTGGGTTCTTTGTAAATTGGTTACAATGTCCTCACTTATTTTTCGTTCTTAGCAATTATAAGCCTGTGAGTAAGGGTCAAGAAAGAAGTGTAATACTAGTTTTGACATGTTTGAGGTAATAACATATTCTAAGAAGTCTTGAAGTTCATGTCTGCTTTAAGTAGCATTGCATATTTGACTTGGTTTTTGTCTATAGATTTGTTTCAGAAGTGACTTTCTCGGTCTTTAAATTTTTATTTATTTAGTCTTTTTGAGACAGAGTTTCACTGTGCAGTTCAGGCTGGCCTTGAACTCACAGCAGTACTCCCTCAGCCTCCTGAGTGCAGAGATTACAGGTGTGCATCAGCATGCTTGGCGTACTTACTCATTTATTAATTATATACATTTGAAGGTGTCTGTTTTATTTTAGGAAATAATAATGTAATGACATTCTTAAATTTTGAATTTGCTTTTACCTTGGTCCTATTCTTACTTTTGCTTTTTAGTTTTTCATTTTTATGTAGTTGTAGAGATAGTATATGTTGCTTGTGGTCTGCTTTTTTCCTTTTAGCATTGTAATACACATTTTTATGTTTTTATTGAACCATAACTGATCTGTTAAATGAAACTGCTGCTTCACTATTGCATTTTGGGTTTCTGCTTTTTTGCCTTTACTGGTTGAGTGAACATCTTTTTTTTTTTTTTTTGTACTGGGAATCTGGGAATCAAACTCAGGACCTCACACTTGTGCTTGCCAGGAAGGCGCTATATATCCCTAGCCCTAGCAGACATTTATTGTAATAGCTTTTTGCTTTAGTGTAATTATTTCCTGGGAGAAAGTTCCCAGGAGTGGTTTTACTAGGTCAAAGGGCTTCAGGCATTTATAGCTTTTGCTGGCTGTGCCACATTCTTCAGAAGACTTAACAGTTTTCAAGGCCAACAAGGTGGCTCTTCCATAGAGTATAGATTATGGATTATCAAATGCTGCAGGGGTTTTTCAAAGGAAGGGTTGCATTTAGTATCAAATTTATACATACTTACTTTTGCTGGTTACCTAATTTATACTTGAGTTTGAATTGGGCTTCTATGAGAATTTAGTGAGGATACAATATATGAAAATGCTTTCAAACCTCTAGTCAATATTGCTAATGAAAAGACATGGTTAATCTGTCTTGTGGATATTTCTTTTTTTAAAAATTTTTTTTACTTGGTACTAGGATCAAACTCACGACCTTGCCTTGCCAGGCAGGTGCTTACGCCACTGAGCTAAATCCCTGACCCTCTTTAAGATTTTTTTTTGTACCAGGGTCCGAACTCATGACTTGGAGCTTGCCATACAGACACTTATGCTGCTGAGCTAAGTACCTGGCCCCTTTGCTGATATTTCTATAAAGAAGTGCCTGAGGGGAACTGTTAAACAATCTTTGGCCTTTCATTTTTAACACTCCTCTTTCATCTAAAAGTGTTACTAGCTCTTAGCCTATGACCAGCTTATTTCTGGTTATTTTTACAATGTGATTATTTGTATTTTTTTTTTTACATTTTTAAATTCATTTTTTATGTAATTTATTTAGATTCATCATTGGTTAATTTCGTATCCAATTCCTTTTTATTTTTTACTTATTTATTTTTCTATGAAGTCCTTTATAGTCCAGATTGGCCTTGAATTTGCCTTGTATAGCTTAGGCTGACCTTGACCTCATAGACCTGCTTCAGCCTCTTAAGTGCTAGGATTATAAGCATGTACAGTACACCTGTTTCTGACTCTTCCCCTATTTTTTAAAAATAATAATTGGTTTACAACATAATTATCTTATTCTCAGTCCTAAATAATAAAATGTTAGTATTTCTTTGGATATAGGATTTAGTGATTTGGGAGTGGAAGTTAGAGTCCCCTACAAAATACTGCTCACCCTGTTTGTTTTTTGGCGGTGGAGTGGGGCTCTTTTTGAGACAGGGTCTCTTTATGAAGTTGAGGCCAACCTTAAGTTCCCTTTGTAGCCCAGGTTTGTTTCTAATTCACAATATTCCTCCTACCTCAGACTCCCAAGTGCTGGAATTATAGGTTTGTGCCTCTGCACCTGGCTCCCCCAACCGCTTTTTGAAACAGGCTCTTGCTACTTAGTTCAAGTTGGCCTTAAATTCATTATGTAGACCAGGCTAGCCTTGAACTCAGCCTCCCAAGTGCTGGAATTACAGGTATGTGCCACCACTATTGCTTCCCCTTTTAAAAAATTTTTGTACAAGAACTCTCAAAATTGCCTTGAATTTGTAGTCTGTCTGCCTCAGCCTCCTTAGTGCTGGGATTACTCAGGAAATTGAGGCAGATGGATGGCGTTGAGTTTGAGGCTAACCTGGGTTCCATAGTGAATTCAAGTCTAGTCCGGGCTATATAGTGAGTTCAAGGCCAGCATGAAACTGCATAGGGAGACCCTGTTTCAGCCCCTCCCCATCAAAAGTAGCAGTGAGACATTCTGGACCTAAAACATCCACATTTAACACATTTGTTGAATATCTGTATAAGGCTTGTGTAGGTCATGAGATATATTTATGAATAAAACAAAGATAGTTGCTTTCTGAGAGTTTAGATTCACATAGGCAGACAATAAGACATTAAGTCTGTAGTCTGTATAATGTAGGATAAGACTGGGATTGAAGGAAAGCAGATTTAGGACATAGGGAAT